AAATTCATTTGCAGTTCAAATTCCTAATGAAGGACTATGACCACTAGTTTCCAGCGTGAGATTTGGTCAGTCTTGCATTCATTTATGGTTGTATCTTGTCAGAATTCTGACTATTCCTTTTGGTAGAGCGGATCCCCGAGAATTTAGAGGAGCATGGTATCAAGTCTAGTTCGAAGGAAGCACCGTTGAAGTTTGAATAATTTCATCCCCATTGGAATTGGACAGTCACCCCTTTTGTTGCATTTACCTAGTAATCAGTGTTGAGGTGACCGTATAGAGGTCTGGTGTGCTAAATGTCTCTTTTTGACTGCAGATTCCGAGGATGGTGTCCACGGTCTAAACATGTTCCTCACCATTCCATTATCAATAAAATGGTTTCATGTGAAACAGGACTCAAAGTCTCTTATGCATCAAGTTCACTGTCAAGTTACAACTAATTCAACCGGTAAGAAACGCAACAGCAGCTGCCACAAGTGGACTCGAGTGAAAACTGAAATTTATTTGCAGTCCAGCAACATACAACTCAATGCTTCTCTACAGTCATGCCAAACCTCAGATTGGGCCCCAGAGTCAGTTCAAACAACCCAATACACCAGCAACGCATTTAAAAGCGGCTTCACTTTAAGGCAAAATAAAGTGTGGTTCCATAAAACTATACAAAAATGCTCAACTTAAAGAGAACCTTTTGGTTCACATACCAGACTGCTGGTAGATAAAGTATTATAAAAAAGGGACAAATGAGCAACTCATTTTGATACAGCAGGTTTCTGTGTTGTCTTTTTAGCTTGGTCCACCTTCTCCACAGACTTGATGACTCCAACAGCAACTGTCTGTTTTAAGTCCCTTACAGCAAATCGACCTGACGAGAGGGGAGAGAACGCCGATCAAGCTTCTCCCTCAGCTCAGCAAAACGACAGGAAACATGAGTTGTGTGGCAATCTAGTACAGGGGAGTAGCCAACCTTGATTTTGCCTGGGTGATTCAGCATTATGATCTGTTGAAATACGCAAGAAAATCAGCTACCAGTTTGTCAGCCAGAGTTCAAACATTGGCAAAGCAAAGCTGCTGTACCTGAGCAATAAAACTGCTGACATCGGATGGTGGGTCCTGCTGTGCGTTACCTGCCACATCACCTCTCCGAAGGTTCTTTACAGATACATTTTTAATGTTGAAGCCCACATTGTGGCCAGGGAGGGCAGTCTGAAGCCCCTGGTGATGCATCTCAATTGACTTGACCTCAGCAGTCAACTTTGCTGGGGAGAAGGTCAGAACCATTCCAGGCTTTAAGACACCGGTCTCAATCTTACCCACAGGGACTGTGCCAACACCTGGGGAGGGGGACCCAGTTTAGACAGTCACAGTAGATGTCAAGAGTGCTCAACAAGGGGTCTTATACTTTGTCAAATCACGACCTTGCCCACTTGGTAGTTTTACCCACCACCAATCTTGTAGACATCTTGTAGGGGAAGGCGCAGTGGTTTGCTCGCATTGCGCACTGGAGGAAGTAGGGAATCAAGCACCTCCAACAAAGTTCGGCCATTTGAGTGGCCTTCTTTCCTCTTGAGCTTCCACCCTTTGAACCACTGCATCTGAAACAAGTAATTGAGGTCAGCAGATAAAGTCAAGGGTGCCCAATCCTGTTCCAGGAAAATCTATCTTCCTGCAAAGTTTAGCTACAATCCTGATCAAACAACTGAAAGCCAACGAACATCTTCAGGAGCACTTGATAGTTACAGACAGGAGTGTTGGAGCTGAACTCTACAGGTAGATAGGTCTCCATGAACAGGATTGCCTTATATCTTCATGGCAAGGGTGTTGAGAATGGCATTACCTTCTGGGATGGGGCAATCATGTTCTCACCATTCCAACCCGAAACTGGTATGAAAGGTACAGCACCAATCTCAAAGCCAATCTTCTTGATGAACACAGAAACATTCTTCACCACCTCATCATAACGTTTCTGGCTGAATGGCGGCTCAGTGAGGTCCATTTTATTGACACAGACCATGAGCTGTTTGACCCCAAGGGTGTAAGCCAGCAAAGCATGCTCTCTTGTCTGACCATTGCGAGAAATCCCTGCCTCAAATTCACCCTTTGCAGCGGAGACAATTAGTAGAGCAGCATCAGCCTAAGAAAAAGAAAGAGATCACCATTTAGGTCAACTTTATTTTCTATGAAGTACCAGAAAAGAACACCCAGATAAACACTCAAGAGCTCAACTCAAGAAGCATTAATACCTGAGAAGTCCCTGTGATCATGTTCTTAATGAAGTCACGATGACCAGGTGCATCAATTATAGTAAAGGTGTATTTCTGAGTATTGAATTTCAGCAGGGAAATATCAATTGTAATGCCACGTTCCCTCTCTGCTTTCAGTTTGTCCAGAACCCAGGCATACTTGAAGGAACTCTTTCCCATCTTCAACAGGAAAAAAAAAAAAGTTTAGTACCCAAACAGTCATAAAAGGGAATTCAAGTTAATACTAACCTGGGTTGCAGCCTTCTCATATTTCTCAATTGTTCTATGGTCAATTCCTCCACATTTGTAGACCAGGTGACCAGTGGTTGTGGATTTGCCACTGTCTACATGGCCAATAATGACCAGGTTGATATGGATCCTTTCTTTGCCCATATTTGCTGATAGTTTCGTTAATTACCTGTTTTACACACCAAATACAACACACCTTATGACTTTCAAACCACAGTGAACCTAGTTAACAAAGGGAACACTTAAGTATGGGTGCTGGTGATTGAGTCCTGGTGTGATCAATAAAGGCTTAAACTGCATTGCTGCAATAATGACCACGCCCACAATGAATTAGAATAGGTTAGTTATTGTTATTTAATATGTACTCCTGTATGAAAACAAAAATCTGCAAATTTCTGCATAACACAGATATCAAAGTAAATTTTTTTTTATCTCTCTAAACCCGCAGCCTTTAGTATTTTTTTTTTTTTTTTGTGACGGAAGTGACCACTCAAATTCGAATCTAAAATGAGGGCACCAGCCATATGGCTAATACCAAAGACAATAGAATATAACATCCATGTTTTGTATTAGTTACAACCTATAGCCAGCTGAAGAAAGTAACAACGGCCCTTTTGTACTTAAACTAATTTACGAAGTTTAGGCATATGTACAGGAAGTAGACAAATGTTGGATAATTACATAACAATTTCAAGTATCATTTCACGTGGCAAAGACAGATTTCAGAAAAAAAAAATTTTGTTTAAAAATATAAAAAAAAACTTTTGAATTTATTGGACAGTGTGTCGTCATTAGTAACTTGCATTAGTTGCATTTGCACAGGTTTACATAACAGGAATGAGTTTATCAGTCAGGTGTGTCTCTTATGCGCAACATCATAAGTTGACCGGCAGGGGGCGCGCTGAATAAATCATTATTTTCAGTTATAAAATAACAAATCATCGCATGTCTAATGCACACGCGACTAAATATTTAAAGTAGTATACATGCTTTTCTTATTATATGATCATGCTTGGAGCTTGATTTACGGCGTTTGGTTAAAATAAATGCGAGAAGCACATTTTTATTAACCCGGAAATAACAGTCGGTAAGACAGCTGAGTGAGAGAGCGCGAGAGAGGCTCAGATCCAGAGAGGTAACGTAGTGAGAGATCTAAAGCCTTCTCCCTGGAGCTTATAGCGTGCTACCTGGACTACATACGTGTTTTTCATCGCTTCACAATCAAAGGTGCGTCTTCATTCCTCTCTTATGTGTTTATGCTGCATGTACTGGGCTTTATTGTGTATATTTATAACTCTGAATGCATTAGTGCTGTAGTACAGCATGTGACTGAGCGGTGTGCTTTCAGCACGATGGCACCAGTGGCCATCCGTTGTTTAAAAGGGTATAGACAGGAACAGATGAAAAATGAGTGCGTGACAGTGTTTAAATGCATTTATGGGTGAAAAAAGTAAAGCAGCTATGTGTCATGCAATGCAGTGCAACTTCTGCCATGCTTTGTGCAATATTGGTAAGACCTGCAATGATTGTACAGTTTTCATAAGCAAGAATGGTCCCATGGTCATGGAAAACCTGGAAATATCAGGCTGTTTTTGAGTTTATTTAAAGTCAGTGGATATTATTTGTATCTCAAAAGCACATGGACATTTAGATACACTTCTTGTAGACATACTCAGCTCTACAGTATTTCATGGAAATTCATTGGTCAAAGTTATGGGAACATTAAGTCCAGCTGATGCCTCTGCTTAGATCCTAAGTGGGTATTGAACTCTAGTGTTGAACGTGTAGTGCACTAAATGTCCAATGTGACTCGGTGTTAAAATTATCTATGTACAGTTTAATGAAAGTACTTGTAAAACATTTTCTGGTTCAAACGTCCTTACATACCAGTAAACCTGTGTTTGATTATGACCATGTGCATCTTATGGTTTTTCCTAATTAAAATCATTGATGTGATGTATGCAAACCAAAATAGCATTTGCAGTAGTAATGTCAGGTTCTGCAATAATAATATCATGCAATTTATACTTTTATATCCCTTATTTTCAAAGTATTTTCCTCCAAAAAGTCATATTAATGTGAGATTATCGAGTATTGGTGTGGCATAGAGCACTGGACTGTGTGGTTTGTACCCATAGCTCATCCCTGCACATATCAGATCAATCATGAGCCCTGATGAATACAGTGTCTTTACTATATAAACCTCCTCATATATTAGGCTGCTATTTCCGATCGTATACCATTGGATAAACCTCTTTCATCACAATCATTCATGTGCAGATACTCTTCACACTGTTCGATTAACATCTTATCACCTCTCCGTCCCTTTCCTTTTATGGTATGTAGGTGAGGCTTGAAGTCAAGCATAGCATACAGGAAGACTCTGATCTGGTGGTTTCTGACACTTTGTTGTGTGTCAGCACGGTAGCCTGTTTTAAGTCATGGCCAGATTGAGATGGGTTTATAATGTGGAAGCCTGTTTGTATGTGTAGGTGGATATTGCCCGATGGGACTGCATTTAGATCATTGTAGTGCATCAGGGGGTAAATTGAATGGATCATTGTTTATGTAAGTTTGATGAAAATATGGAGGCAGTGAGTGTACTGTGTGCAGAATGGTAAAAAAAATGTTTAACTTGTAAAACACATTGGACTGTGGCAGGCATTGCACGCATTGCTTTTCCTGCATGTCAGGCCATGAGGGGTAAACATTGTGCCTCTGCTTGTTTAATGGACAGATGTTTGTCGTAAATAAAGGTACTTGTAATCCACTTTTGTGAGGTATCTGACGTGCAAGTGGTAGGTGTGTGCAGCAGTGTTTGTTTGTTTAAGAGAGGACTGCCTTAGTAAGCATTTATATTAATGGTATACAACTTTATTTAACAGTCCACAATTGAAATTAAAGGTGTTTTGGATGAATTGTGACCTGAACTGTGTTGAGTGGTTGGGTTTTTAAACTAGTCAAGAGCTTATGAACATCTCTCTGTGCTCTTGACTCATGGCTATCAGCCATAATATTTGTGCGGTGCATATTTCATTGTGTTATCTGCAGGTTAGCTGATAGGACACTTCATCTTTTGTCAATAGAAAGAAAGCCTTGCATTTGGGGCAAAGTGGAATTTCCTCAGAGAAAATTAGTTGAGGAAAGCAAATCATTTTTTTATTATTATTATTATTATTTTTGGAAAGTTCATAAATTGTTATTAATTGTTAGAGACACCAAGAAATTGTTTGACAAGTTCAGTTTTCTTTCCTGTGTTGACACATTTCCTATTGAAACAGGAAGTTGGATTGATACATATCAAAAGGTCGATCACTTTTTAAAATATCCAGTAGTTTGTCACAGCCATACAAAACCAAATTAAGGTGCTTCCTTTGCAATCAATTTATGGTTGAGAAACGAATTATATAATAAAATACAAGCATGAGAATAACCAAAGACATACTGATATAACGTGATTTGCTACTTGAATTGCAGAGGCATGTGGTTCTATAATTTATAATTTGTGTAATCATGTGAGACTGAAGACTGGAGTTATGGCTGTTGAAAATTCAGCTTTGCCATCACAGGAATTAATTACATTTTTAAATGTATTCAAATTGTATACATTTTGTAGTTGACTATTACTGTGTTATTATTCTTACTATATTACTGTTTGTTTTTATTTTTGATCAAATAAATGCAACAAGAAAGTTATTTAAAAAAAAATAAAATAAATAAATCTTACTGCTACCAAACTTTAATGTCGGTAGTGTACCTGAGTATGCTCTAGATAGATGTCCTCAAAACTAACAGACGTGCACCTACAGCCACTGTACTCCAGTTTTGATTTCATGAGCCATAGGCCACAGTGTGCCATCCATTGTTGTAATTAGCACTTTCTGCTAATCTCTTCATCCCAGTAAGAATGTTAGTTCTGGGGGAAATGTTTTGTGTATTTGGAGGTTAGTGAAGGATTGGAGCTGTAAAACTTTAAACAAGAATGCAGTGTACAAATCGGTGATGGTATTCTTTGTTGAAGCGTCGACATTATATGCCTGTTGTTCTCAGAATGACAATCTGTAGAATTTGCCTATGAAAGACATAAGGAAGTTTATTGTACTAAATTTAAAAATGCTAATCTTCACTCTGAACTAGCTCACTAAACTTCCTGTTTCTCTTCCGTTTGCCCTTTACCCCGTAAGATTTCTGTCCAAGTGGAAATGTACCTTGTGTTTCTAATAAGTGTGATTGTTTTGCAAAAATTGTAGACAATTGTTTTTTTAGGGCAACTTCAGGGATCTTATCTATGCACAATCAGCTTGTAACACTCCAAAGAGAAAGGAAAACTTGAAATCGCATCATATGACCCCTTTAGGATAACTCCCCAGAGCATTCGTTCACTTAAACATCAATTTAAGCAATTTTGTAATATGGCAGAAATTTTTGTAGGATGTTTAGTTCGTATCCAAGCCATTGCAAAATGTATAGCAGGAGAAGAGTGCTGTCGACATTATATGCCTGTTGTTCTCAGAATGACAATCTGTAGAATTTGCCTATGAAAGACATAAGGAAGTTTATTGTACTAAATTTAAAAATGCTAATCTTCACTCTGAACTAGCTCACTAAACTTCCTGTTTCTCTTCCGTTTGCCCTTTACCCCGTAAGATTTCTGTCCAAGTGGAAATGTACCTTGTGTTTCTAATAAGTGTGATTGTTTTGCAAAAATTGTAGACAATTGTTTTTTTAGTTTTTTTTTAACAATGTTGAAGGTTGAATGTTTTTTTGCGTTATGATATTAACCATTGTGTGTAGTTAAGCCTCAAGAGCACACGTCCTTGTGGCCTAATTCTTTTTTTTTAACCTCAGGTGATCTATGTACTCTGTCTTGCAGCAGCATGTAATGTTGTACTTTCTTAATGTCATGTCTCCACATGTCAACCATTTGAGCTGAGCAGTGTGATTTTTCACTTGATTTCCACTTCAGGATTGTAACATTTCAATTGTTAAGTGTTAAATAGAACTGAAAACATACACAACTTTGACAGACACATTTGGTACTCGAAACCATGTGCTTGAAAGGAAATGAAGGAAAAAAAATATATTTTCCCACCTATGTTTTAAGGAGGGGCAAACTTTGCTCAGGGTCATTATAGTTAACTAATACTAAAAGTAAAACCATAAAAAGAAAACCAAACAATCAAAAAAAAAAAAAACATTTTGTTATTAGTAATAAAATAAACATTAAAGAAGATGTAAAAAAAAAAAAAAAAAAACACAAATCCACTTTCTTCTGCAATCTTCCTTGTTACTTTAATCACACAAATTAGTCTTATTTAGTCTTCAAAAATTGGGATATTATTAACGTGTAAATGGGTACAAAATTCCAAAATTAAACGTTGTTCTCTTAAAGACATCAGATTTAAAGAAATAAATTTGACCTTATTAAACCAATAATTTATAACCTTTAAAGTATCAGGCCTAATTGTGTGTAGTCTAAGAAAATTGTCTGTAGTCTTGGATAGTTTTCATTACATTTAATTAAAATTTAGCAATTTCCTCCATATCTAAAATGTAATATTTCTTTCTGCTGATCTATTAAAATCTGAATGGCTGTAAAAAAAAAATGTTATAACTAATTTTCACAAGCCAACCAAATCCCAGTGGACACAATTAAGCCTTGCCCTATTGTTTCACTCAGAAATATGTTATGTTTTGTAAGTTAAATGTGCTCCAGATGCCATTTCATGTCATTATAGATAATAATAATAATAACTTGTAAAGGCCAGACCTGCTGAAATTAGATTGCAATTCTGTTATTTCTTTTGTTCAGCAGCGATGAGCCCATTTCTAGCTTTTGCTTCAACTGTCACTTTGACACTCTACATATATTGTGTGCCCACTGCGTCCCCTCCCTCTTGTTTCCATGGTGAGGATAGCTGAACATGGTAACCGGCACAGATGACATGGCAACAGTTGGGAAGGAAACCCAACAGTATCCATCTGTTGCCTTTAACATGCCAGTCTTCAGTGAAGCAGAAGAGTTATACTAGACTCTCTGCTCTCAGTCAGAAAGCATGAGGGACATGTTTTAAATAGAGCTGACTATAAGCAGCATAGATAGCTAATTCTAGTGAGGTCATGCTGTCGCTAAGTGAGAATTTGGTTGGTTTTGGTGATGTCTGAAGTGTGTGTTCACGGGGCTAAAGAGGATATGAGTCAAGCATGCTTTTGCCTCATTAGTCAGC